GAACGCTTCCTCTGACAATAGAACATTTAAACTCAAATTGTTTTACTCATAAATCTAACAAATGCTGGAATGTTAAAGATAACAATGATACAATTCTATTTACAGTTCTAATACTAACTTTTATTTTAGATATTTACTAAGTATATTTTTTTATAGAATCATTCTATTGGCTTTCTACATATGAGAGCTTGAAGCACTCGCTTGTTTTTAATAAACTGTAAATTTGCGTATTGCGTATTTCATAGAAGCACCCTATATTATCAAGAGAACTTTGCAAATAAATTCTGAGCAGCAAAAGTGATACAATCCATACTAGGGATGCACCGATACTGGTATCAGTACTGAGTATTTTCACAAGTACTTGTACTCATGAAAATGCTCCCGATACCAGACAATGCTGACCAATTAGAATCCGTATAGCTTGTAATGTCATCCCTGCAAGGAGAAAGCTGCAGGGATTTCAGATCCCCAGGCCTGTGAAGTAGCTTTCTCTCCTCTCTTAGTAGGGATGACAGAATGTGCTAGATGGCTTCTGATTGGTCAGTGCCATCCATGTAACGGTGCTGACTAATCAAAAGCCCTGTAGCCTGAGCCGTCATCCCTGCAAGGAAAGGAGAGAAATCCGCAGGGATTTCAAATCCTGCTGAGAATCCAGAGCGACTGCCTCCAAAGTATACATCCCCACACACCCTTCTCTCCCACTCTTCACTTAGGGAAACCTCCCTGCACTGCTCCTGTGCTCACTCAGGCTATGACAAGCCTGGGTTCACACAGGAGCAGCAGGGAAACCGCATATTCAAATTGCATGTTATTCTTTGCGGTGTAATTTGTGTCTATACATTTTGTATTAGTACTTTGTATCGGCAAGTACTTCACCGAAAGTATCAGTACTTGCACTCTCCAATCAAAAAAGAATATTGATGCATCCCTAAATCATACATACCTCCCAACCTTCTATAATGATAAAGAGGGACTCCTTTTAGCACACAGTATGTATGCAAAGAACACGTCCCTGCCACAGCCCTGGTTACATGGACAACAAAGATTTAATTTCAGAAAATGATTGGCTGAACTTTTTTTTTTTACCTCTATTTATTTTTCCTTTATATTGGCTTTTCAAATGCAGTAATATAGAGGTTTGATAAAACTTTTAGTGCAACATAACACTTTTGGTAGTAAGAGTACATTTTGTGTAGTGATGTATGCATCAGACTTAAAAGAGACAACTGAGACGAGGGAGAGAAGGATTTGGTCTCGAAGTTATAGTCCCTTCAAATGAGGGATAGTTGGGAGCTATGCTGTCATGACCTGTTGAGATTGTTTTACAGTCAGATTGGGAGGAGAAAGTGTGTGGAGAGTTGTTATATTTTATTTCTTACTTTGTATGTATTCATAGAGGAACTCTATTGGAACAGATCCAGCTACTGTGCTGAGCGGCAGGTGTAGAATTTTAGCAGAATTTTGTTAGAGCGATCTTTTGATTTTCTAATAGTTATTGGAGTCAAATCTACATTTTGTTTTTGACCGTAGTGAGAAGAAAATTGGAAGGAGCAAGCTAGAAAATTTTGCTCATACTAATTTCTAACTGTGTAAGTGCTTTTGTTCAGCAAAGTCCACTAATTCCAAAACTGAATGTTGAAAGCAAAGAGAGTTTTGTAGAACTCTTGAAGGACCGTGGTCAACTCTTTGAATGATCTAAGAATTTTCTTGCGCTTTTTTGTTTGAATATTTCTTACGATTTTTTGTTTGAATATTTCTTACCATCGGAAAACCTTTAAAAGCGCATATACAGTTAGGTCCTTATGCTGTTTATTTGGACACAGGCACAATTTTAGATTTTTTTAAGGTATTGACTAAACATATTCAAGCTATAGTTATATAATGGATGTGGGCTGCAAGTGCACACTCTCAGATTTAATTTGAGGGTATGTACATCCAAATTGGAGGAACGGTTTAGGAATTACAGCTCTTAAGAGCAGCCATCCCTCCTTTTTCAAGGGACCAAAAGTAATTGGACAATTGAATCAAAAGCTGTTTCATGGCTAGGTGTGGGCTACTCCTTTTGTTATTTCTTCGTCAATTAAGCAGGAAAAATGTCTGGTGTTGATTCTAAGTGTGGTATTTGCATTTGGAATCTATTGCTGTTAACCTACATCATGTGTTCAAAGGAGCTGTCCATGCAAGTGAAACAGGCCATTATAAGGATTCAAAAAGGAAACCGATCCATCAGAGAGATAGCAGCCACATTAGGAGTGGTCAGATCAACAGTTTGGTAGATTCTGAGGAAAGAAGAACACACTGGTGAGCTCAGCAACATAAAAAGGCATGAACGTCCACAGAAGACAAAAGTGGTGGATGATCGCAGGATCCTCTCTATGGTAAAGAAAAACCCATTCACAACATCCAGACAAGTGAAGGACACCCTCCAGGAGGTGGGCGTATTATTGTCAAAGTCTACAACCAAGAGAAGACGTCACAAGAGCACATACTGAGGGTTCACAGCAAGGTGCAAACCGTTCATAAGCCTGAAGAATAGAAAAGTCAGATTAGACTTTGGCAAAAAACATCTAAAAAGCCAGACCAGTTCTGGAAAAGCATTCTTTGGACGGATGAAACTAATATTAATCTGTACCAGAATGATGGGACGAAAAAAGTGTGGAGAAGGCTTGGAACATCTCATGATCCAAAGCACACAACGTCATCTGTAAAACATGGTGGAGACAGTGTGATGGCCTGGACATGCATGGCTTCCAGTGGCACTGGGTCATTGGTGTTTAGTGATGATGTGACAGAAGACCGAAGCAGCCAGATGAATTCTGCAGTGTTTAGAGATATACTGTCAGCCCAGATTAAGCCAAATGCAGCAAAGGTGATTGGATGGCGCTTCACAGTACAGATGGACAATGATCCAAAACACACTGCAAAGGCAACCCAGGAGCTTTTGAAGGCAAAGAAGTGGAATATTCTGCAATGGCCGAGTCAATCACCTGATCTTAACCCAATTGAGCATGCATTTCACTTGCTGAAGGCAAAACTAAAGGCGGAAAGATCCATAAACAAAGAACTGGAGAACGCTGCAGTTAGAGCCTGGCAAAGCATCAGAAAGGAGGAAACCCAATCCTTGACAATGCCATGTGTTCCAGACTTCAGGAAGTCATTGCCAGTAAAGGATTCTCAACAAAATATTAAAAATGAACATTTTATGATTATATTCAATTGTCCAATTACTTTTGGTCCCTTGAAAAAGGGGGGATGGCTACTCTTAAGAGCTGTAATTCCTAAACCCTTCCTACAATTTGGATGTATATACCCTCAAATTAAATCTGAGAGTGTGCACACTTTCAGCCCATATCCATTTATATACAGTACTTATAGCTTGAATATGTTTTGGTTAATACCTGAAAAAAACTAAAATTGTGCCTTTGTCCTAATATATATGGACCTAACTGTACATAGGAAACACACCATACTTTAATTTGAAATTATATACAACTGGTATATTGCTGCTGCTATTTGGTGCTCAGTTAAATAATCCCACCCTTCATATTGATCATTTACAAGAAAGCTTATTTTTGTGGTTTGTTGCTTTTTCCAATATTAAAGTGATTGTAAACCCTCACCTTTTAAAAGAGCCCATTCAGTTTAACCACTTAGCGCCTGCCCACAATGCACCGTACATCGCTGCCTACTTCTGGGTTTCAGATGCGTGCATGTGCGTCCCCTCCTGGCCGGCACCCACTGTGATTGTACACAGCAGGAGATTGTCAGCAAGTCCTGGCCAATGATTCATGGGTGGGACCTGCTGATCAGCTGTGTACAATCAAAACCCAGACCTCTGTGCTGACAATCAACACAGAGCTCTGTACAGCGGGGTGGATCTCTGTGTTTCTCATCCCTGCAAGGCAAGGGGATCTCTTAGTAAACATAGGACATGTTACACACCTTCAACCCCTTGATTTCCCTGCAGTAGATGTTAACCCCTTCCCTGCCAGTGTCATTAGTACAGTGACAGTGTATAGTATTAACCATGATTACTGTATTAATGTCACTGGTGATGTCAGTGGCAGGTAGTCAGTTCATATCAGGAATATGAAATATTGGGTTTACGTATTCTTTAATTGAGCCAGAAACTATGACGCTTGAATGCTGAGACATGTTTCACCCCTGTTTTGTATCTCTGGTGTAAGACTTGGATTGCTTGTGGAAATAGGTTTCTGAGGCCCATAGATGAATGTAATGGATTTTCATTTAATTTCCCAGAGGATCCATTGTCTGGAATTTTGGGTCCACTGGGACCTCTTAAGCTTTCCTGTTCCTGTACATTAACAACTTTTAACCTTGGGAAAACATTTAAAAGAAGCACTTACTTTCTTCAACTGCAAAAAAAAAAATTAGGCTAGTTTTTACATAGTTATAACACATTATTTTAGGGTTTTTTTTTTTTTGGGGGGGGGGGGGGTCTTATAAATTCGGGTTACAACCTACTATGGCAGATATTTCTCTTTTCTTATAGCAGGCAGCAAAGTGACTTTCTAATTTTGTCAGTGTCTTGTTTCTGCAGCTGGAGTCAGTAGACTACAATGGATTCACGTTATGATGGACTAAAATACAGGCAAGACTCTGGTGTTCTGTTTGTTCAGCGCAATGAAGAAAATACACGAAGAACAAGGAATAATATAAAGGACGGTTCTTATGGTGTTAGCATCAGGGTTCAAGGAATAGATGGACATCCATTCATTGTGTTAAATAATAAAGAAGGCTATTCATCATGTAATATTCCCTCACCTGAAAAGGAACATCTATCGCAAGACAGATCAATACTGAATTTAAAGAACAGTCAAAATTCTGTAAGGACAGATGACAAGGATTTTCCAGAAAATCCATACAAGTCATACAAATCTTCAAATAAAAGTAACTATTTCCATTCAAGGACTAACACTTCAGAATGTAAAGATGGGTCCCTAAAAACAAGCCTGTTGAATTTTCAAAGACATCCTGAGCTTTTGAAACCGTATGATCCAGATGAAAACTCCTTGAACATAGACAATTACAAGTCCTCTAAAAATGACTCTGGTTTGTTGACTACAGAAGAGCAAAGTAAGAAAGATTCCAAGACTTTTATGCGTTTTCCTAAAGATGCCATTTCAAAAAATGTGCGTAGTAAGCCAGCTGCTATAGTTGAGCAGAATGGTAAGGAAGCATCTTCCGTGCAAGAAGACCAAACCAAGTCACCGACAGACAACACAAGTATGCTGAGTAGTATTAGTGATAATAATACTTCAGAGTCCTTCTCTTCCAGTAATGGATCTCCATATAGTACAAGCTCTACAATTACTGCTGAGTCTAGAAGAACGAGGCCTGATGTCCTTCAGTTTAAAAGACAAGATTTAGGTCAGGCTCTTGATGGATTTCGTTCACGTAGATCATCCTGTTCTTCAGCCACTGCAACATCATCTCAATCCTTACACAAGTTGTGGCTTGAAGAGCAAGAGGATGCTCTTTATGCTGATAATGTGAACCGCCATGAAAATCGAAGGTATATTCCTTTTGTACCTGGGACAGGTCGCGATATTGATACTGAGTGTATTCCTGGAGTAGATGAGTTGATTGAAAAGTTTGATGTGAATATCCCTGTACAAAGAAGAGGCAGGTCTGCCAGACGTAATAGGATCAATCCAGAGGAAAGGAAGCGAGCTAGAAGTGTTGACAGTGCTTTACCATTTGGTTTACAAGGAAATACCGCTTACTTAGACGAGTTCAGTAGAAATTTAGGCAAGTCAAATGAACACTTATTACGGCCATCCCAGATCTGCCAGCAAAAACCACATATGCAGAACTATAAACTGCCCTTTAAAAGGCAAAATACAACTGGAAGCCTTGCCAGCCAAGCCTCACCCACAGATAAGGTCCAGCAACAAAACTATAGTTCTTTGCCATACTGCAATGAAACCAAGAGTAGCAGGTTAGCCTCGTTCAGTGAGACTGACTCGGCCACGCTACCTAGGCAAAACAAGAGAAACACTGATGTTAAAACCATGACCTCTTCATTAAAACTGTCAAACTACAGCATCGCCCCATCAGAAGAAGCAAAAAGAAGAGTTTCTGCAAATACTCACAGTACAGGTCAAGGTGCACAGGTTAGTTCAAATATTTACAATTAATGGATAATGTATTTTAAATACATTTTATTTATGTTTTAGTTCTGTTTGTTAAAAAAAAAAATACATAAAGCCTGGTTCACACCAATGCATTTTTTTAGTGCTTTTTGCTTTATGCAGAAAATGCACTACAGTCCTTTTAACATGGGTTCCTATGGGACACGTTCACATCCATGCGTTTTTCAGCAACAGCGCTGTTGGAAAGGGTCAGGAATTTTTTTAAAACATAAAATAGAGGGTTTTTGGTTCACTAGAGTTCAGTGGAGATGCTGCTGAAATGCATGTAGTGCGTTTTCTGACGCTTTGGAACTTGAAAATTGATCAGCCAATCCAAAGTAAAGAGTTGCCGTTTGCTAAGGAGCAGGTCGGTAAGTGGGCAACCACATCCTTCACATCCAATGGCTCAAAAGAATGCTGACAATTAAAAATTTGGAAAAAAAAACTGCGTGGGGGACCCCCTTCTATCCATACCAGGCCCTTTGGGTCTGATTTGGGGTTTCCCCACACCAAAACCCCAAATTCATACCAGATCCTTAACCAAGAATGCAGCCTAGCAGGCCAGGAAGGGGGGGGGGGCAAGCAAACCCCCCCCCCCCGAACCTTACCAGGCCACATGCCCTCAACATGGGGAGTGCTTGGTCAAAGCACCCCCCCCCCCCAAAGCAGTTTGTCCTCATGTTGATGAGGACCAGGGCCTCTTCCCCACAACCCTTAATTTTCGAACGATTCAAGTTTTAATAGTTTGCAGAAATTTATGAATTAATTAGAAAATTAATAAACAAAAATTTTCCTTTTAAAAAGAGAACAAAAAAGCAAAATGCTTTAAAAAAAAACGTGAAAACATGCACCAAAAATGCATGTAGAAAAATTCAAAACACGCTGCAAAACAGATCAAATACACACTGCCTTAGCGTGAACCAGGCCGAAATCTTGTTCATGGTATGCAGAACTGAAAAAAAAACTTTCAAAACAAATTTGAGTAACTGCAAAGTAAATTAAAAGCCAACATTTGAATATGCTATACCTATGTGGTGTGTACTGTAATGGTAGTTGAGAGAGATTTTGGACAGTTAGATCTTCATAGGATGCAATGCTAGCTCACAATTTTAAGATGTGATGACTGTAATTGCTGCAATTTTTGTGGTTTGGTAACTGTTTGCTCACTGTGAAATATCTGGGTGTGTGCAGCTTCTAAGAGCTCTAAACTGTTGACAGGATGATGAATAGTTCAGTTCCTTTGAAATACACTACAGATATAATTCATGGACACATCAATATTGGGTCGGAAAGCCAAAAAAAAATGAAAATGTGCTATTCGAGAGGAAAGAAAAACAGTTCCATAGCCTTCTGCATTATCCATCATGGTGTAAAAATGCTGTTTTTGGTTACATATGTTTTTTATTTCTACCAATATACATGCTAGATATTTATTTAACTGAAAGCCTCTTCTGAATCGGTCGTACTGCACACTAGAAAAGTTTCTATGTCTCATTGGAGTAAAGTGAGAACAAAACACAAGGACAAGGTGGCTCTGGTCCAGCAGTTGCAGCTTGGCACCTAACAGGCAATAACATCATGAGCCACACAGTGCCCTTTTCACAATGAACTTTGATAAACTTGGCTGTTATAGAAATCCTGAGTTACTGCTTTGACCCCAATCATTTTAATAAATGCCCTGTCAATCTTGTTAATCACCCAAGCTATACCCTTTAACGGGCTATAACAGGCCAGCTAACCAACTTGCATTTTTTCTTTGGCAGATTGTAGAACATGGAGTTCTACCTCTTTACCAGGATTAAAATATATAATTAGCATTTAAACTGGATCCATAATGTTGGCTTGCAACCTTAAAAAAGACCATCAAAGTGTACATGCTACTGAGTGCAAATATAGCCAACAGATTCGATAATAAAATTGGGGAAAAAAAGCTTATTTGATTACTAACTTTAGCTAAAATAATATTTCTACTTTCAATAGGCACTTATCTTTTCTCAGTTTTTTTCTCTGTTCAAGCAAGACCACACGAGATTCAGAGAGTAAGCTGCAGAGAGAAATATATAAATACCTAAAGAAAATAAAGGAAAAAAAGCCTGAAAAATAAAATGAATGCACCCATCAAAAGACTGGAGAGCAGCTTCATATAAAATGTTTGTTTTTGGGTTCAGATGCACATCATGGTCAACCTGTCATTTTGTGCAACCTATCAGCTCTAGGCTTGAAAAAAGTTACCAAATGATGCTAGCAGCTTTACTTTTGGGTCACCAATTTTTGAAACCCCACTGATCCATAACTTTGACACACAGCCCCACTCATTATTTAATCAGGCACATCTGGCCACTGAGGTTCTTAAATTAATTTTGGGGTGATAGGGGTGTAAAGACTTCTGAGAGAGGAAAATTGAGCTCTCTTGGCAGCATGTATGTAGGTGGCTCCACTTAAAAGCGATGCTTGCACTATACCAGCAGAAGCTCTGGTTCCTTTCTGCTATGGCCAAATCTTGCATTGTCAAAGCCTTCATTAAAATATATTCCCCAATGGCCACAAAGGATATATTTCTACTTTATGTGTACTGCATTTCTGTTACAAACCCAGTCTGTGAAGAGAGAAGAGCTGTACAGGGCACCCAGCAGGTCCCAGCTACAGAAAACTTCAGGAGGGATGGAGACAAGACCAGTCACCCTGCACAAGGAGAGAGAGCAGAAGTAACGGGTCTTTATTACAGGAAGCTGCTTAACTAGTCTTTATTACGGGAAGCTGCTGAGCAGAGTCAAAGTTTCAAAGTGGATTACTGCACAGATCTGGAAGAAATGCACAAAGCAAGCCAAGATTCAAGTGACAATACACATACTTCTTGTATTTAGGCAATGTTTGCTTATCACTGAGCTCAACTTCAAAGAGTTCTGACCTATCTCTGTACACTCAACACATGTGACAAATCATAGTCCTCTGAGACTGTATTACTAATCCTACTCCACCCTCCCAACTATCAGTTCAATACATATGTACACATTAGGGTGGAAAATGACTGCAGTCTGAAGGCACTTCCTGACAATGGGAAAGACCCTTCTCCACCCATTAGGTGAATTCAGCCTGATAGTCCTGCAGCTATGGAATGAGTTAAATGTATCTTTCATTACTTGGCTCTCAATATGCAACTGCAAAGATAAAGCTATAAGAGAAAGACTGATTCCATTCCTGTGGAGAAGCCAGGAGGGCTACGCTAATGGAAAGCGGCACATAATGGAGGATAATCCACAGGGTTCTATGTATATCTGCAGTTGAACTATCTAATGAAAGTCAATCTTCCCTCTGCAAAAAAACATTGATTGATTTCGTAATCAGTGCAGTGTGCAGAAGCAGTGTTTGAATACATGGATTAATCATTGATTGACTTTTTTTTACCAGGGAAAGATGCAATATTTAGTTTAAGATGGCCCATGATTTATGTAGACTTATTCCGTAAAGAGTTTTTACTCTTAATTGTTCATTCTTAAAGTGTAACTCAAAACCCAACAACAACAAAAAAAGTAATGTATTGCAGTTTAGTAATCCTTTGTTGTGGTAGCTACTTTAATTTTAAACACCCCCCCCCCCCCCACAAACTCTCCTGACTTTGTAAGTAGTCAGCTTTTTGAAAGTGTCCTAAAGTGATGGACGTCTTTTACCTTTCGGAGAAATCTCTCTTATAAATGTGGATGCTGCATTCATTTTCTTTTTTTTTAGGCTTTTTTCTTTATTTTCACATGCACAGAAAAAAAAATTGAATGCAACCACACATCTATGAGTGTGATTTCTCCGTAAGGTAGATGAGGTCTATCATCTTGGGACACTAGCAAAAAACTGAGGATTCATGGAATGTGGTGGGATTATAGGAAGGCCATTAACACACTTCTTATCCTAGGGTGGGTCTGCTCATTCGCTCCACTCTATGGAGGAGAAGCATGGTCCTCCTAGGCTGCTCTCTTGATTTGAACTACAAGTATGTCTTCCTCTCCATATCCATTACACAAGGACAGATGGATTTGTTGTTTACAGAAGATAGCTTGAAAGAAAGATAGCCTTGTTTGCGATTTCGGTTCATTTCAGTTCTGACCTGTATCTTAAGCTTGGTCATTTTTCCAAATGTTGATACTATCGCACAAGCTGGAAAATTACACTTTTGAGTCATTCTGTACACCAACAGGGTATGGAACACTGCTAGGTTGCCATATTGCATTGAATTTTTCAAAAAAGTACAGGCCTGCAAATCGAAATGGAGAAGTAATTTTTAATAACCATAAATTACAACATGGCTTGTATAGCAATAGTATATTCTATATTATTATTATTATTATGTATTTTTTTTTTATATATTTTTTTTTCCAGGAAAGTAGAGTTCCCACTTATATCCACTCAGTTTTTTTCACAGCTGCAATTCTCTAATCCAGGATCCCCCAAAAATCTTAAACCCCTATATAGACAAAAAGGGCTAAGTTAAAATATACCCATGTGTTGAGGCCCCCCCGCACTGCAAAGATGCACTGCTCCTATATCTAGAAGGTACAGTAAAAAGCAGTATTATTTACTCTAGGTCCTAATCCCTGCTTCTCATATTCTTCTGCATCATCATGTACAATGCAGGAGTAATCAACCCTACATTGGAGGAGGAGGAGGCAGAAGTGCGACCATGATCAGGGCCTACTTTAGAAATTAGGCTTACCAGAACCGGTCCCACAGCTGGAGGGACCCTGCTATAGCGTAGAATAAGGCAAATATTACACTTTATTCATGAATCCGTAGATGTACTGAACAGTTGAAGGCTAAGTTCTCCTTTTAAGAAGAAAATTAATAAATGCACATGATTTTGCAGGAAAAAATGCATTTAATTAGTTATTTTTGCATAGGAGCCTGCAAAGCATTGCACTCACAACCACCAATGAATCACGGGTGCAATGACAGGCTCCTGCAGACATCTTCTCCAGCTCTGCATGTTCCTCTGTACTGGCTTTCAGTTAATGAGCTCCAGGAAGTGTCAACGGACTATGAGTGCACTGATTACCACACTCATGGTCCATTTGAGAGCTACAAGTCTGTCTACTACGGACTTGTAGTTTATCCAGTCGCATAACTCTGTGAATGAATGATGCGGCTGTGTGGGGCAAGCCCTGCACAGCTGTGATGATTTTAAATTTGTCAGAGGCTGCTGGGAAAGACACCTCTGCATGGGGGGAGGCGAATGCTCTGGGGGTAGAAAGCGGGTACTTAGGAACATGTTACACCCTTAATATGGGTATATGTCAGGGGCAGACTGACAACTCATGAGGCCCCCAGGCAATAAGAGATAATGGGGCACCCTGTGTCTCCACCTACACTCAAGCCAAAGCCACACCCACACAAAATCCCACCTACATGCTACAGCTCAGCTGTGTAGAAAGGGCATTAAAAATTATAAAAAAAAAAACAACATCGTAGGGTCTCCCCTCCATCCATACCAAGCTGTTTGGGTTTTGTATGGGTTTTGAGGGGAACCCCCACGCCAAAATTTAAAAAAAGATCCATACCAGATACTTATCCGAGCATGCAGCCTGGCAGGTCAGGAAAAGGGGAGGGAACGAGCAAGGGCCCTCCTTCTCCTGAACCATACCAGACCACATGCCCTCAACATGGAGGGTGCTTTAGGGGTGTTCCCGAAGTAGATCCAACGTCAGTCATGATGCCGCTGCTACCCAAAAAAAATAAATAAAAAAATAAAGGCTTTGCTCCCGACGCTGGCTCCCGGCTCCCGGCCGTTTGACTGCTCCACTGGCTTGACAATTCTTAAATATGTAAGGGGTGGGGCCACCCAGTGACATCATGCGTAGGGCCCCATCTCCTTGTGACATCCTTGACCCAGCATGCCCCTGGTGATGACACCCCACCTCTTACATATTTAAGAACTGTCAAACCAGCGGAGCAGTCAGATGGCCGAGAGACTGCGATGGGAGCAGAGCCTTTTTTTTTCTTTTCTTTTCTTTTTCTAGATATCAGCGGTGACGGGCATCGTGATTGACGTTGGATCTATTTCAGGGGCATTCTCCTGTCTTTTTCACACTAAACTTTTTTTTGTTTGGGAATGGGTAGCGGTACCATGTACCCCATACTCATTTACATGGGGAGGCGGGATTTTTTGGTGTGGGGGTTCCCCTCAAAATAGATACCAGACCCAAAGGGCTTGGTATGGATGGAGGGGGGACCGTTTTTTTTTTTTTTTTTTTTATTTCCCAACAGTTCTTTCTTTTACATTCAGCTGTCAGTGGGGAACCCCGCTGACAGCTGGAACATTACCGCATGGTTTTCACTACTAAAATACCACATGACTTGATCAAGTAACTCATGCAGTATTTTAGTAACATTTTTTGGTGAATTCAAACTTTTTTTTTTTTTTTAAAAAATGCTATGAGGTATCCTACCGCATACTCGGATGCAGTAAGATACTGCTTAGTGAATTGTGCCCAGTGAGCCTCTCACCGGGCTCCCTACTGACCCCAGGCCCTCTGGCAATGCTCGAATACCCAGTCCGCCCCTGCTTAATGTAGCATGTTTCAAAAGGTGTGGGTCCCTCAGTGCATGGGTTTTTTTTTTGTGATTTAATGCACCTAAGTTATAAATTAAGTTCACTGACTACGATACATCCCAAAAATTTCAGGGACGAACTCTGCTTTAGCAGCGTCCTGTCTGCCTTTTCCTGCTGCATTGTCCTCTGTGTAAAGCTGGACGTGGATAGATTGAAGTTCAGCAGGAAACAGACAATGTCAATCCATGTGTGGCTGCACTTAAAGACTGACTTCTGTCAAATGGCCTTCTTGGAAAACGTTTCTGTATCATCGTCTGCAACTACTGGGCTGCAGCCGTGTATCAGTGTATTCTGACAGTTAATCAAAACAATAATAGCACAGTGGTTAAGTGGTTAGCACTTCCACCTAGCAGCACTGGGGTCGTCTGTTGGTATCCCAACCACAACACTACCTACCTGGAGTTTGCATGTTCTCTCTGTGCCTGCGTGGGTTTCCTCCAGGTACTCCGGTTTCCTCCCACACTCCAAAGACAGGATGGTAGGTTAGTTGGTTCTTGTCTAAATTGGCCCCGGTATGTGTATGTATGAATGTAAGTTAGGGACCTTACATTGTACTCTCCTTGAGGGCAGAGACTGATGTTAATGTGTAATAAATATGTAAATCGCTGCGTAACTTGGCGGCGCTATATAAGTACCTGTAATAAATAAATACATATTTAATTGGGCTAACCCTTTAAGCGTTGGTACTCTTCATTTATTGTAGTGCTTTGTTTAAGAACATTGTGTGTTTTTTCATTCTATTTTTTTTTTTTTTTCTTAATTTCAGGTGACACCAGACCTATTGAAGGGCCAGCAAAAACTAGCGCAGCAAACTAATGAGGAAACTGCAAAACAGATACTCTTTAATTACTTGAAAGAAGGGTTCGTATTATGCTTGAGTATAAGCATTTGTGAAAGTATGCGTAAACCTTCACCTTGTAAAACAACCCTTTCATTCATTGGATTTCAGCTCTTTCAACCAATCATGGAGGCTCAGCATCACATGTGGACTCTACCTTGGGTGGTCTTCTGTTTCCTGAAAGCTTTATACAGTCCCTTCCCTTAGTCATGATCTGTTGGCACTGCTTCATTAAAATATATAATGAAAATTGGAAAGTTTTATTTTAAAATTTAATTTGCATAATATTGGAGGGAGAGATGAACCAGGGAAGATAAAATATAAGCAGAGTTAACTTCAGCTTTAAGTCCTCATGCACACTGAGCGTTTTAAAAACTCTAGTAGCATTCAGTTTTTTCCCCATTTTTTTTTTTTTAGTGTTTTTGCATTTGTGTTTAGCCGCGTTTTTCAGTGTTTGCACTTTTTTAGGATTTTTTTTGCACTTTTTACACAAAAAAAAATTTCAGCTCAAAAAAAAGCCCAAAAACGCCAGTTTGCCACATTTACCAGCATTAAAGTGTTTTTACAGCTACAAAATTTCTCTAGAAACCCACTAGTTCTGGGTTTTTTCCAGTCAAAAAAAATACCCCTGCCATAAATCGCTGATTAAAGCCAATGTATGCATGGACACATAGGATAACATGCTGGGGAGTTTACTGGCTGTAGAAAAATGTCCAGTGTAAAAACGTCCAGTGTGCATGAGTACTAAAGCGGACCATTACTAATATTTAACTCCAGTAATTCACTTCACTTTAGTGGAACCTACCTCATCTGCAATCTAAAATGCCATTTTTTTTCTCTACCTTTTTGTTCATGTTCCAACCTGCCACATCCTCCACATTTGAACGTCCTGGGAAGTGCAGTCATATTCCAGTAGGCATCAGCTCCAATATAGAGGCAAGGAGAGGGCGCAGTGCTGCACTGGGTGGGAGGGGCCAGGAGCACCTGTGGGGGACCCGAGAAGAGGAGGATCTGGGCTGCTTTGTGCAAAACCATTACACAGAGCAGGTAAGTATGACATGTTTGTTCTTAAAATAAATTGATTTTAATAGTATTTTAAAAAAAAATGTATAGGCTTTATAACCACTTTGACCGCCTCCCGCCCGCCATATAAGGAAATGACAGGGTGCAAGGCGGTTCTCTTGTTCTGGGAGGACTTCATATGACGTCCTCCCAATCTAGCTGCGCGGCTCTGGGGGAGCGCAAAGCAGCGATCGATGGTGCGCTGTGTCCCTCGGACACAGCGGATCACCGATCAACGGAAAGAGCTGAAAATGTCGGCTCGCTCATGTGATCAGCTGTGTCCAATCACAGCTGATCGCATGTAAATAGGGAAATGCCGGTTATCGGCATTTCTCTCCTCACGAGCTGTCACGCTGACAGTTCAAGAGGAGGGGAGAGCCGGTAATCAGCATTCCTCAGAGGGGACATGTACACAAATCATCAGGGCACTGATGATCAATGTAGCCCCAGCAGTGCCACCTGTCAGTGTCCATCAATGCTAGCTGTCAGTGCTCATCAATGCCACCTGCCAGTGCCCATCAGTGCCACACCAATGCCAAATAGTGCCTACCAGTGCATATCAATGCCACATATCAGTGCCCATCTGAGCTGCCTTTCAGTGCCACCTATCAATGCCAGTCAGTGCTACCTATCAGTGCCACCTATCAGGGCCAGTCAGTGCCACCTACCAGTGCGCATCAATGCCCATCAGTGCTGCCTATCAGTGCCACCTGTCAGTGCCGCCTATCTGTGCCACCTATCAGTGCCGCCTATCGGTGCCATATATGAGTGCTGCCTTTCAGTGCCCATCAGTGATGCCTGTCAATGCCCATCAGTGCCACCTATCAGTGCCAATCAGTGCAGCCTATCAGTGCCCATCATAATATTACAACCTTTTTGAAATTATATAAACAAATTCAAACAGATGAATATAATCATAAAAATTGGAAAAAAATCATAAAATTCAAAAATACAAAAATAAAAAGTAATTAAAAAAAGTCCAGCATAAAGTGTCCCAAAATGTCCCAATGTAAACACAAATAGTGTCAAACAGAAATGGTGTCCCAAAATTGTCCAAATCTCCAAATTTTATCCAGTCAGAAGAAATTCCCTTTCATCCCGCAATACCTCGAAAAAAACAAATTCAGAAATCTAGTGCATTACCCTTATAAATAGTATATATATATATATTCTCTTCGTGCAAAAATAAAAACACAAAAACACAAAAAAAACAAAAAAAAACACAAAAAAGTGTGCAAACACTATATATGTGTATTTTTCCGTGCACATGTGAATGAACTGTGACCACTCAGTGAACACACTGCAACAGTGTGTATCCACCAGCACCAATAGTATTGGACACTATTACCCTCTGTATCCTTATACCAGCATCCACATGAGATCTTCTGAATGCTCCAATGAAATTATTCCAAGGTCCTCAAAAAGACAAGAAGGGTCTCAAGGCTCATATTCAAAGTGTAAAAACAAGATTTAATGAGAACTTACATTAAAATTTTCTTAATTCGGCTTCCAACATGCTTCCTGTGTGAGTCCTATCAAACAGATGCAAAATGCCATGTGTTGATAACCCACAAAATGGCCGCGGCGACACTTCCGGTCTGCGTGCGTGCGTCACTACGTCACACCCTTAACGCGTTTCGTCACTTCCGGACTTCGTCTTCGCCTCATTAGCGCACATCAGTGAAGGAGAAAAATCACTTATTTACAAAATATTATAACAGAAACTAAGAAAAAACTTTTTTTTTTTTTACATTTTCAGTTGTTTTTAGTTTGTTTAGCAAAAAATAAACCCAGAGGTGATTAAATACCACCAAAATAAAGCTCTGTCTGTCTCCAAAAAATGATAAAAATTTCATATGGGTACAGTGTTGCATGACCGCGCAGTTGTCATTCAAAGTGTGACAGTGCTGAAAGCTGGAAATTGGCCTGGGCAGAAAGGGGGTATAAGTGCCTGTAGGCAAGTGGTTAAAGAATCCTACACATGTTCAGTAAACTGGTTTCTCTGTCACAGCAGTCCACTGGTAATGAACGTGCCTGATGATGGATTCTTACTGGACACTCGCAGTGGTATTTGACATTTATAAAGTCTTGTCAGACTCATGGACGTTTATTTACTAAAGCTGGAGAGTGCAAAATCTGGCTAGTTCTGCGTAGAAACCAATCAGCTTCCAGGTTTTATTGCAAAAGTTTAACTGAACAAGCTGAGGGTAAAAGCTGATTGGTTTCTATGCAGAAGTGAGCCTGATTTTGCACGCTTCAGCTTTAGTAAATAAACCCCGGTGATTGTTACATCTAGCAAACAATGAGGTTGATTTACTAAAGGCAAATGAACTTTTAATTCTGCATTCTACTTCTACTATCCAATCATGTGCAAGCATAAATGCTGTTTTTAAATTTCATTGCATCTGATTGGGTATTCTTTGCAAAGTGAAATTTCACTATATTTGCTAAGCACATTTGCACAGTCCATTTGCTTTTAGTAAATCAGCCCTATTGAGTTTCAAGAAAAAATATGTTTAAAAAAGGATGACTTGCAGTTTAAAGTGCAATTAAATTTCTGTATTTCAGAAGTCAGGATAATGACGATGCAACCAAAAGAAAAGTCAACTTGGTCTTTGAAAAGATTCAGACTTTAAAATCCCGAGCCTCCAGCAATGTGCAGGTAAATAGTCCCCTTTTCTTTAATTGATGTTTACACTTTGCACATGTGGAGATAAGAAGCTTTTTATATTATTAGTTTTCCCCTCTTAATGACCTTTCTATTGCTTTGAGATTTCCTTTTGTTGTTGCATTTCTTATGGTAGTTTACTTTTAACATACGATCAATATTAACAATCTTTAACTTTGACAAAGTGGCTATTTTCTTTTATTAAATGTTAACAAAAGAAAGGAAATTGATTACGCTTGCCGTTCCGATGCATTTCTCGTTTTCATTCTCAGACAGCGGAGTGATGATTTTATTGCATGTCCTATTAGCTTGGAAATTCAATAAGAGATTTTGTTTCTGGAAACAATAAGAATAGTATACCATGGTTCAACAGTATAAATCTTACCAACTGTGCATGCAATTAAATTACAGCGAATCTAAAGCCTAGTACACATTATTAGAAAATTGGACGAAAATCTCTGTGTTCTGAATAATTGTTCAATTTTCTGTTCGTTAGTATACTGCTTTCAAGAGCTGATGTGGACTGTTCAGACGAACATTTCCAAAGGGACAAGTTGGATTTTTTTTTATTGGTAGTTGCCAGAATGACTGATTGATCTTTCTTTTAACCGTTTCCACTCTGGGCCAATTCAGACATTCCTCTCCCACATATAAAAAACATCTTTTTTTTTTTTTGCTAGAAAACTACTTAGAAGCCCCAAATAAGTAGCAGAAGGAGTTATTAATCAGTTTCAGGTGCTTTGGTGTTAATGAAATTAACAACAGTTGCACTAGATGGGGCAACAATGAGACGACCCCCAAAATAGGAATGGTTTTACAGGTTGGAGGCCAATTACATTTTTTTCCCTACTCATCTTTTTTGACTGTTTTTCACTAGTTTTGCATTTGGCTAGGGTCAGTTTCACTACTGGTAGCATGAGGTGATACCTGGACCCTTCAGAGGTTGCACAGGCAGTCCAACTCCTTCAAGATGGCACATCAATATGTGCCATTGCCAGAAGGTTTGCTGTGTCTCTCAGCACAGTCTCAAGAGCATGGAGGAGATTCCAGGAGACAGGCAGTTACTCTAGGAGAGCTGGACAGGGCTGTAGAAGGTCCTGAAACCAGCAGCAAGACCGATATCTGCTCCTTTGTGCAAGGAGGAATAGGATGAGCATTGCCAGAGCCCTACAAAATGACCTCCAGCAGGCCACTGGTGTGAATGTCTCTGACCAAACAATCAGAAACAGACTTCATGAGGGTGGCCTGAGACCCGACGTCCTCTAGTGGGCCCTGTGCTCACTGCCTGGCACCAATGAGCTCGATTGGCATTTGCCATTGAACACCATCATTGGCAGGTCCATCACTGGTGCCCTGAGAGCAAGTTCACCCTGAGCACATGTGACAGACGTGAAAGGGTCTGGAGAAGCCGTGGAGAACGTTATGCTGCCTGTAACATCGTTCAGCATGACCGTTTTGGTGGCGGGTCAGTGATGGTCTGGGGAGGCATATCCATGGAGGGACGCACATACCTCTTCAGGCTAGACAATGGCACCCTGACTGCCATTAGGTATCGGGATAAAAAACCTTGGACCTATTGTCAGACCCTACGCTGGTGCAGTGGGTCCTGGGTTCCTCCTTGTGCATGACAATGCCTGGCCTCATGTGGCGACAGTATGCAGGCAGTTTCTGGAAGATGAAGGAATTGATACCATTGAATGGCCCCCACGCTAACCTGACCTAAGTCCAATAGAACACCTCTGGGATATCATGTTTCGGTCCATAGACTCTGCCAGGTTGCACCTCAGACTGTCCCGGAGCTGAGTGATGCCCTGGTCCAGATCTGGGAGGAAATACCCTAAGACACCATCCGTCATCTCATTAGCAGCATGCCCCGACATTGTCAGACATGCATACAAGCACGTGGGGGCCATACAAACTACCGAGTAGCATTTTGAGTTGCTGCAATGAAATTTCAGCAAAATGGACTAGCCTGCTGTATCATTTTTTTCACTTTGATTTTTGGGGCGTCTTTGAATTCAGTCCTCTGTAGGTCAATCATTTTCATTTCCATCAAACGATGGGGCATCCTTATGTTCCTGACACATTACCCAGTCCATAGCTGTGTGTGTGTCGAATATTCTCATTACTGCAGTCAAAAACAAATGTTGATTTGACCCCACTAATGATTAGCAAAATTAAAACATTTTCTTTGAATGTTCATTTCCTAAGAAATTTAGTTTGAAATTCTACCCATTTATGGCCAGCTTAAAGTGTAGCTCCACCCAAAAGGGGAAGTTACCCTTTAAGGCTGCATCCCCTACTCCCCGTTAAGGATTGGCACCTTTGGGGAGCGGGTACCTGAATTTGACAGGTACCTGCTCCCACTTCCGCTGCGATTGCCTAGGAGATCGGATGAGGAAGTTTTCCACCCCCCTCCCTCCTGTAGTCTTTTGGGACATGTGACAGGTCCTAGAAGACTACAGAATCATTCAGAAAGCATGTGCAGTGGGCACCCAGCTGTGAAGTTGCAAGCTGTCACTGCTGGGTGCCCATACCTAAGATGCCGGCCCCGCGTACACTGGATGGTCGGTGAACCCAGCCTGTGTGAGGACTTTTTAAAAGTCAGCAGCTACAATTTTTGTAGCTGCTGACTTTTATTTTTATTTTAACTGGAGTTCCACTTTAAGTGACTGTGACTCTTTAAAGAGCTTTCAAGTATGGAGGCATTTTATTTTTTTTTTTTATTAATTAATCCAAGTCTCATGACTTTCTTTTGCAGATTAAGTAAAGCACTCCTTAGAACATGCAGGCAAATGCATGTGCTAGGCACTAAATGACTATTGCTTAAATTTACCATGTGTTCCTCCACTTAATGACTGAGCTCTGTTTTTACACCTCATTCTTTGCTTTTCTTTTCGTGTGTTTTAATGAATTTTGTTCTGTTTGTGGTATTTGCCTTTTTGTTCACTATTGGACAAATAATTTAAATATTTTTTAAAGTGACTTTCTAAGTCAATCAGATTGGAGCTTTAATAGGAGTAGGTTAGAAATAATTGAAATTCAATATGTACTGAATATATGATTTACATTTTTGTCTTTGGATATACTTTGTCACAGCGAGCAGATGTTGTTACTTTGGTTACTGTAGCTAATGTATCGCAGAACTTAATGGATGTTATTTTTATACTTTATACTAGTTTAACTAGTGCTTTTCCTTCACCAAAGTTTCTAATGCTTCTGCTTCTTTATATATTATATTTGGTTTGTATGAAATGTAACTACTTTCTTCCCTCCAGAGTCCAGATCCAACAGCTGAAATCAAAGCTTTGACTGACCAGAAGAGTGAACTAGAAAGGAAACTGGCTTCCCTCCAGAAACGACTTGATGACCAAACAAAGGTACAAAATAATTTCCACAATTACTTGCCATGTTAATGTGCATTTTTTCTATACAGAGTGAAATAATTTTATGAAAGTACGGCTGCTTTTATACTGAGGTGTTTTTGAAGCGTTTTCTAGTTAAAAAAAAAACTCATGAAAAGCTCAAGAAAACTGTTTCTCTGTGTATGTGAATGTATATCTATGTATGTTTTCACACTGAGGCGTTGTGCTTGCAGTGCAGTGTAAAAACTTCGGGGCGTTAAAAAAAAAAAAATGCCTCAAAAACATCTCTTACCTTTGAAATGAAGGGTAACCGCCTCAAGAACGCTCACAAAAACACACCGCACATGTGGGAAGCTCTGGGCTAAGCTTACTGAAAATGTCAATTCACTATTGCCAGTATGAGGTATTTACTGAAAAATAGCGAAAACACTCCATAAATACCACATAAAAAGACCTTGAAGTCAATTCACAATAGGAAATAAATAATTAAATGCGTGCGGTAATTAAGTAGTGGTTCAGGTTTGTGGTATGTACTGTATCTGTCAGTAGTGTCATGGGTTGTTAGGGAATGGATGGCCGCCGAGTCCCTAACAACCTATGAGTCATCAGCTGTCAGAGGGGTTCCCCACTGACAGCTGAATGTAAGAAAAAAAAAAAAAAAGAGCCAGCAATTACAAAATAATACAAAAAAAATGGCATGGGGTCACTCCCCTCCATCCATACCAAGCCCTTTGGGTCCGGTTAGGATTTTGAGGGAAAACCCCACACCTGAATTTGAAAAAAAAATGGCGTGGGGTCCCACTCAGAAGCCATACCAGACCCTTATCCGAGTATGCAACCTGGCAGGTCTGGAAAGGGGGGGGGGGGGGGACAAGCGAGAGCTGCGCCTTCCCGAACCATACCAGGCCACATGCCCTCAATATGGGGGGTGCTTTGAAGCAGGGGGGGAGGGGGGCTCTCGCTCGTCCCCCCTTTCCTGACCTGCCGGGTTGCATGCTCGGATAAGGGTCTGGTATGGATATCTACCTTGTCCCCATGCTGATGGGGACAAGGGCCTATTCCCCACAACCCTGGGCTGTGGTTGTGGGGGGAGTCTGTGGGTGGGGGGCTTATCGGAATCTGGAAGTCTGCTTTAGCAAGGGTCCCCCCAGATCCCAGGCTTTGTAGCACAATTTATAATGGCAGAACCGCACCGAATTTTGGTGCCATTGAAAATAAATGGCACCTAAACAGGTGTTGTGTATTGTCATATTTGCAGAGCGTTTTGGGATTGCAAGCAGAATTACAGCAATTCTGCTTTAGATCCCAGGTGTGAACGGGGCCTAAATCTAAGCATGATACCATATGTTGCAGGGCTTCTATACATTAAAATGGCATTGTGGGCAGGCATAGACTATGTACCAGGGCAGAGAATCACAGTTCCTATATCAGGATTGTTGGACAATTGCTGGAATTTGATTTCTAATGCCTTCCCTTGGCATCATTAATTATGTTGGGAATTCATAAGGCATTCTTAGTGGACTTAGTTGCTTTAAAATAAATCTCTGGGCAAAACTTTTTTTTAGTTTTGTCTCCAAACTGATGGGACGCCTTTATAGACAGCTATAACAAGTATTCCAACTGTAAATCTCTTCCTACACTTCTGTTGTTGCAATAACTGTACAATTTTGGATTTCTCATCACTTTTTGTTCTGATCACAATAGTCACCAGGGCAAATATTTTATTTTATTTTTTATTTCAGCTACTTATATAGCGCCGTCAATTTACGCAGCACTTTACATACATATATTGTACATTTCACATCAGTCCCTAACTCTCAAGAGCCATACAATCTAAGGTCCTTAACTCCTATTCATACATATACATACTAGGGCCAATTTAGACAGGAGACAATTCACCTACTGGCATGTATTTGGAGTGTGGGAGTAAACCGGAGTACCTGGAGGAAACCCACGCAGGTACAGGGGGAACGTGCAAACTCCAGATAGGTAGTGCCGTGGTTAGGATTTGAACTGACAACCCTAGTACTGCCAGGCGGAAGTGCTAACCATTTAGCCACTGTGCTGCCCAGTGAATCTCCCGAGGGGAGACACAGACAACAATAAAAACCTGAGTTTTTACAGAGTTTCTAACCTTTCACACTCTTTAAACTGCTTTGGCTAGCTATACACTTTTTAAATATATTTTTAAACTTATCACCTAAAGAAAAAAAATTGTAATATCATTGTTCCAGTTTATAAATGTTATTTTCAATAGAAAACATTGTGTGTGTGAAGTTCTCACCCCAACTTTAATCAATAGTGACCTTATTAATGAAGTATTAGAGTAAAAGGCAGTTTATTTGGGGACCATCCTAAACTATGTTTGGTTTGTTTAGACCAGCGATTTCTCAACCTTTTTAACATGGAGAAACTTTTGGAATAACTTTCTGGTCTCAAGGAACCCTTGTTAATAATTGCTGTATTTGCAGCTCACTGTGCATTAGTGTGAAGGTCAATGGGGAAAAATGCTCCTGTTTACAAATAGATCATTTTGTGTCAGTGAGAATTTATCTGAGAGGTAGAAATTCCCCTTTCCTCAAGGAAACTCTATCAAAATCTGTAGGAAAAAGGCTGGTGTAGACTCTTCTTAGGCCTCATGAATACATGAACTCTCCTAGACGGTTAGCTCTCCTGGCAGCAGAACAGTACCGTGTTTAGCGCTTGGGCGTTGATTCATTTGATTGGCCAGAGTATTTTCCATTGACATTAACAAAGTGCTAAACGCGGCTAGTGCTTACATGCATTTTTGTCACGTTTAGTGTTTTTTTGGCCAAAACGTTTCTCTCCTGAACATGATTCTTCTGCATTCAGGAGAAGAACGTTTAACTGCCCCTAAACTCTGATGCTCCTAAACTCTGGTAAAAGCCAGAGTCCATGTGTACATGGACACATAGGCTGAGTTCAGGGGCTTTGGCAAATAAATTCCAAAAGCTCCTAAACTGGCGTTTATGAGCAGCAGTGTACATGAGGCCTTCTATACTAGCTGTCATTAATGAGGAAGAGAGCACCGGGACAACAAGCATGTTAAAGTTAAAGTAGTTGACTGAGCTGGTTTTCTCCCTGTTGCACTGTCCAGAATAATAGGGCTGACTATAGTAGAATGCTAAGTATACAGCATTGCATGCAGTAGGTACATTCTTGTTTACTACATTGTGTACTATTACAGTCTGTCAAGATAGAGAGATGGAGGCGTCCATGGCTGGCCTTTCCTTCTGAAAATTACATTTGCCTGGATGCATAGCTGGCCATAGGTTTCAATATTTTCTAAATCACTGACCCCAAACAGGTTGGCAGATAAGGCCCTATGACTTTTCTCTGATTTCCTAATTGACAAACATTTTCAAGTCAGTGGATTAGAAAACACTGAAACCAGAAAGTCAGCATGACAGCCAAGTAACCAGCACTTTTATAAAAGGTCAGTAATGGCAGCCCACATGTTTTTTAATTTCAGGTTTACTTTAAAGAATATGTAAACTCTCACCTTGTAAAAAGGCCCATACAGTTTAAAATAGAAATGAAAGGCAAAACGTGTTTATACATCTAAAAAGCATTATGAATGTTCTTCTTTTTCATAAGTGATCACATACCCTCTGTTCTCAGCTGCATAGAGGAGTGAGGTCAGGAGAAACAGCAGCACACTGGTCTTCCCAGTGAATGGCTGTGCGGGGAGGGGGGGGGCTTCTCATCACAAGTCTGATCATTGGAGGAGAGCAGACTGATTTCCCAGTACAGCTAGAAAACTGACCACGCTGTGCGTACATGCCTAGCGTGGTCAGTTTTTAATAGGAATGCAGAGGGACTGCCAGGAACACCAGGGATTTCACACAAAGCAATATAAAGAGAACAGTATACTTTTTCATACAAGTACATGGTACAGCAGGCACATATCAAGAATATGAAATGTTGGCTTTACTTATTCTTTAATACGTCAGCTAGGCAGTACTGTGAAACCTGAATCATTGAAACTATACAGAAAAGAGTTTTATTGATAGAAGAACATGACTTTACTAGAATAAGCTGGGTATGAAGGTAGACTGCCTTAAGCAATATTTGATCTCGCTATTGTGTTATGGTTTGTGCATCCTTTTTAAATATGTTTATATTAACTGTTTGTGTCTGAGCTGCACTAAAAACTGTCTTTACATGCCATGAATCCAGAGTCAAGAAAGCAACAAAGAACAGAACAATAAAACAAAAGCAAGCATGAAAGACATCCAGGAACAACTTGAATGTAGCATGGAAGAAAACTTGGTTCTTCGTGGGAAACTGGGGGAGAGTGAAAAAGAATTAAGAAAACATCTAGAAGAGTAAGATTTTTTTTTTTTTTTTGGTTAAACACGATGACATATTTGTAATACATATCTGGTTTTCCCAGGGTTTTGTGTAACAGTTGTACTTTTGTTTTTCAGTCATTTGTGTCAGGTGTACTAATTGACAAGTGTACTAGGAAGCTCAGGTGTTTAGCCATAAAATGCATACCTTTAAAGTGAACCTGTCACATTCTTAACAAACGGCAGGGGTAGGAAAAGTTGTATACCAAGCTTGTGAAGTTGATGTGTCTAGAAAAACCTGCTTCTAATAGATCTTCTTCACGGCTAGAAGTTACTACTGAGATAATTATAAAGCTGTGTGGGCAGTAGAAACCTAGAAATATAGAAAAGTGCCGGTAGAAAAAGACCAAGTGGTCCATCGAGTCCGACCATTTTTTTTTTTTTTGGTGTTCTTTTTTTGTCCGCGTATAGATTTATGCTTGTCCCAAGCCGTAGAGTCCTACTAAGCAGATTCTCTTTTCTACCTTCAGATACGTTCATTTTAAATATTTATTTTACATGTCTTTCTCTAGCTATAGCTAAACATACTTTAATTTACAAATATCCCACAAGCTGGATTTTCTTTTCTTATATGTGGCGTGAAGCTGTTTTGCAGGGCATTACTTAAAAAGAAAAACAGCTTAGTTGAATATAACATGGTAAAGACAATGCACTGTTATCCCAAACCTAATCCAGCACAAACCAGATGACAGGATTACAGCAAAAAAAAAAAAAGAATGATGGTTGTATTATTAGTACTAGTACCCGATCTTTCAAAAAAATTAAATCTGCACAAATTTTATTTAAATTCTCACAATTCTAGATGTGTTGCAGAAGGGTACCAGGCAAACCACTGGGTAGTTCAACTATATCACTGGATGGCAAACATTAGCATAATTTTATGACATTTGAGGACATTACCAAGATATGCTAAAGCTCCACATGAGAATGCAATGAATGTCTGTGTGTTTTAAGATGGTCATGTCTGCCAGACTGACCAACATCTGGTATATCTACAAATTACAAAAGGATATAAATGCTGGCACACAGCGCTTCCGCCAATGCCAGCCGTATTATCAATCCATCTTGCATACGAACTAACAACCGCGTAAACGTTTCTGCCTAAGAGGTCTCCACATCATGGGCAGGGCAGAAACCTTTTAAAGCATACAAGCACACATGAACACGGCTTAAAACCATTAATCTAATGCCTGTTTTAAAAAAACAAAAAAAAATTTTAAAGAAAGATCCTGGGTATACTTTTTAGAGATGAAGTTACATAAATTATAAACTGTTTTTAAATGCAAACGCATGTCCCATCAGGGTGGCTTAAGCCCTGTGGATCCTAGACTGAAGTTTAAAGTAGAGCTAAAGGCACAGTGCATTCCTCTCAAAAAGTCTTCTGCAACATTCCCCCCCTCCTCCCCCACACGGAAAAGGCAAAATCTTCTCTATGCTGAAAATAAGGACATATCACCCACATGTCCATGTAAAAATGCCTAGACACATTGGAAGGGTGAGAGGCAAAAGAATTTTGGCCACCATAGTATTGTTTATTGGTTCTCACTTAGAGGTGTCTAGCACTACACCATACTTATTGAATAAATATTCATTTTGATCATAAAATTACATTCTTAGTGCCAAAATTGGTAATCTAGTGAAAGGGAAAATTATTACCAGACACAACCAAACATACTACTTTTGGTTTCTGCATTGACAATAAATTATACTGTATATTACGATCCATCGATTATAATATAGCCTGTCAGATTTTATGCATGTGATTTCTGCCAGTGGCTATAGTGGCCAGCAGTAATCGTGTTCTGCCGGCAGGGAATGCTCCCCGCCGGAAAAGCACAATAGCGCTGCCAAAGGTATTCCCCCATCAACACTGATTTCAAATCATCTATGGCTTTCCTTAAGGGGCCCATAAATAAGATTATCAGCACACAGTAGTGTGAGATTCCTCCTGACAATTAGCACAATTGCAACATATTCTCTGGAAAAAGTAGTAACAACGACTGGCATGTTACTAGTGGAGTCTACAGCTAGTAAGGAGCTCCTATTCTTTCTGCATGCTCCTTGTTTCCCTTTAATAATCATTCAATCTGGATACTCTTTTTCTCTCAAAATCGGAATACACATTAGTGACATCTGCTTCAAATAGTTCTTTGGTCTTAATAAACCTACATGTTGGAATAGCCTTGGTGATATGGGTGTGGTGACAGATAGCAGCTTTGAAAGTTTCCCACTGTAGGTTTATGGTAGCTAGTGCTGAACACAGAACCTGTTCCTACTCTATCCAAAAGAGTGAGAACCCCCCCAAAAAAATTGAAAACTTGATCTGCACTCTGTTAAACAGAGATTAGCATTGCAGTCATCAATATATTTCACAAATGGGTCTAACCTCCAAAAAGAGACCTTCCAAACCAAAAGCAGGTCATTTGTGTACAACATGTGACCATACAAAAATATCTTCCAAAATGGGTTTACACTCACAAAGATGTGGAGCTCCTCCCATCAACCCATGTATAAGTTGGCAAGTGGGGGCAAAAAATCTTTCCAACAGTTAACCTGCCATGATTAGAGGTAATGCACTAAATGAGGAAAGGGACACTAAGGGAAGATTACAAATGATCCTCCTTACCTGCTGAGATCCCATAGCTGATGGATTCTCAAACACATCACTTAATTGTGGTATGAAGTATACAAATGAGCAAGAATGGATCTTCAGATGGCGGGGAGTAGTCATAGTGCATTGTCCTTTATTATAAAAGTTCTGTTTTGACAGGCATTAGAGGAAGCTGGTATGGAGCCAAAACCCTCTTCCTTCTAAGTGATATACAATACAAATGCCAGCACACAGCACTTTCACTAATGTTGCTGTATTAACAATCTATTTTGAACAGAAAGTAGCAGCTGAGGTGTTGCACATCTTCAAAATAAATGGCCAAGATATAGATGTTGTTCTTTCCAAAATCTTCAGAAAATCTTTTTTGATCTTCAAATGCGGCATGGATATATTCTGTATTGGATATATTCTATATTGCATAAAAATTGCATTGCACTTGCATTGTTTTTTCTGGCTTCATCCAAAACATAGTAAAGCCAATACCCCAGCAGATGCAGTCCTGAAGTCTGGGTGAATATAGGTAGAGTCTAATTTACTCCACTTACAGTGCAGTATGATTTGAAGACCCAGGCCAAGATACTTTTTTTAAAACAAAGTTCTGTGGAATCCCCTTTTGAGGGAAAGATTTTGAATTCATAAATGAAACAAAAAAAGAAGGGATTCCTAATTCGTGGAAGACATTTGGAAATGTGTTTTGACAGTGAAGGGTTCATGAAAAATGTTTTCAATCAAGCAGCCTCTGGAAAGAAAAGTCTGCCTCCAATATTGGTAAAGTCAATGAATGATAAATATTTAAGCCACTTGTCAACAAGACCCAGTGATCTCAATTGTTCAGTTAAGGAAGTTTCATTATCAATTTTAATCGGTGAAAACTGTTTTTTTTTTTTTTCCATAGCTCTTTCACCGATAACAGGGGTACAAATCAGCCTGCATGCTGATTAACATGGTTTCTCAAACACCAGAGAACATGGTTAGAATGGTTTCCTTCTACATAGAACCCAAATGTGACTTTTTTTCCCCTGGATTGAAGAAATAGTTGCATAGAAATAAATGTTCTTGCCCTCTCTGAAACCTTCACGTTGCCTATGCTTTAAACTCCAGACTCCCAATAATCCCTTCTTACATAAAATTGTTTTATGGGTTACTGATTTTATTTTTTAATGTGTTACAGCATTCTGTTCAATTTGTTTTTTTTCATTGGACTTAACAAAGGTTCTTCAGGATCAACCAAACCACCCTTCGAACAATAGCAAACTTGACAAGTCATTTCCCATTTTTTTTTTTTTTTTTTTTAGATTTCAACTCTCATTGAAGCTCTTGAGCTCCAGCCTTTTTTTTTTATTGAGGTATTATAGCTGCCCAGTTCTCCATACAAACTCAGCTTTGATTCCCATAGTTTTTGTCAGCATTTCACAAAATGTATACCTCAGGATTTCTGAGTATACATTTTCTCACTTCCAAATAATGTTATTGTTTTTCTTAATGGAATGATGCATACAAAAAAATTCGAATGAGGCATACAAAAAATGTATCTCAGTAAAGCAAATGTAATGCCCTTTGGTAGCAAAGGCAAACAGCCATTAAAAATGTTGATAACCACAAGGTTCAAACTCTCTATTACTAAAGCATACTATACAGTTCCATGGAGAAAACCCTTACTAAGAACCCAAGTTAAGTGAACAGGTTTTCAAAAGAGCTATTTAGCCCAATCATCATCCTTTAATGAAAATGTTTGCTTTCACAACATGTTAAGTAATGCTTCAAAATGTTGTCCCTGCCTAAGATGGGAGGTAATTATTGCTTATTTTCTGCAGCTTTGGTGTCTTGGAACATGTTTGGCGTAAAAAAAAGAGGGGTTAGTCTTACTTTTTAACTTCCTTTCCAGCAATCGTCCTTGACAATATTCATTTTTTTGCGTAAAGATTTGAGGGTCTGTTATCTTGGGTACATTAGTAGTTTTCATTTTTTGCCAAAAAACCATGGAGGAGCCTATTTTTCTGGTAAGCTGATACATGTAAGTTACAGAATACTGTGGACGCAGAAGCATCTATTTGTTTTACAGCATTTGTTTTCTCCTTGACAGATTATTTGAGTTGAAGATGGAACAGGAGCAGTATCAGACTGAAATTAGAGATCTGCAGGAGCAGCTGTCAGAAATGCATGATGAATTGGACAATGCAAAGGGCTCTGTTGTTGATGATGGAGAAAGGGAGGCTTTGATAGAGGTCAGTTTTACAATAATGCATTATAAAACAAATGTTGCATTAATGCTGCTGCTATTTATCACATTTATTATATATTTTAATTGGCACACCCAGTTACTAGACCATATGAAAGCGAAAAAAAATACTTTTAACCACTTCCAGACCGGACACTTTTACCCCCTTCCTAACCAGGGCAATTTTCAGCTTTCAGCGCTATCACACTTTGAATGACAATTGCGCAGTCATGGGCAACACTGTACCCAAATTAATTTTTTACCATTTTTTTGAGACAGATAAAGCTTTATTTTGGTGGTATTTATTCACTGCTGGGATTTTTATTTTTTTGCTATTTAAATGAAAAAGTCCAAAAATTTTGAACAAAAGTGTTTTTTTTATAAAATTTTGCAAATAAATAATATTTCATCATAAATCTTTGCCAAAATGTATTCCGTTATCTTTTTAGTAAAAAAAACAAAAAAACAAATTAGTTTATAACCAAAAATGTATAATTTTTAAACTTTTTTTTTTTACATTTTTATTTTATTTTTTTTATATTATTTTTTATTTATTTATTTTTTACATACTGTCACCCTAGCAGTACAGTGTCACCATGGTGACACTGTACTACTTGTGCGGGGTGATGAAGATTTTTTTTTTTTTTTTTTTTTTTACAATGATTGCTTTTACACCCATATAGGATGTAAAAGCAATCATTTCTCTTTCTCTCTGTGTGCATTCCTGCACTCATTGAGAAGTACTGAGTGAGCTGTGGTTGGTCACAGCTTGTCACATGGTACAAGGCTGTTGTGAATAGCCTTGTACCATGTGACCTCTGTGATCATTCACAGATTTCACACGTAGTAAGCAATGATGTCACAAGTGACATCTTGCTTACTACTTTGCATGTGATCACTGATTGGCCAATCAGTGATCACATGATCGGGACCTTGTACAGAGGTCCCGTCCGACGATCGGTGTTTCACTGTGTCCGGAGGACACAGCGGGCACCGGATCGTGGTGCTGCGCGCTCCCAGGGAGCGCACACAAGCAGGGTGCGGGGAGGCCGTTCATAAAACGGCCACCCGACCCTGTATAACCACCGTCCGGCCGTTTATATGCAACGGCCGGTCGGGAAGTGGTTAAGGATGTTTAAAGAAGAAATCCTGGTGTGGCATTTTCAATGTAGTTACATTGGTCTAGCTTGGACCAATGCAACTATGCATTTATCATACCTGTGGGATCCCTATACAGGCTGGAAATCACTGTAGTGAGCTCTGCTACTACATCAATCTCAACTTGCTTCCGGGTCCTGTGCCAAACGTTTGCCCTGCTACATTGTTAACACAGAAGCTTGAGTGCTGGGCATGGGTGCCATTCACAGGTATGGTATATACATAGTTCCAAGATTAACCTATGTAACAATGTATATTGGGGCAGCACAGTGGCTAAATGGTTAGCACTTCCACCTGGCAGAACTAGGGTCGTTGGTTCGAATCCCAGCCACGGCACCACCTGCCTGCAGTTTGCATGTTCTCCCTGTGCCTGCGTGGGTTTCCTCTGGGTACTCTGGTTTCCTCCCAAAGACATGCTGGTAGGTGAATTGGATCCTGTCTAAATTGTCCCTAGTATGTGTATGTATGAATGTAAGTTAGGTACCTTAGATTGTACACCCCTTGAGGGTTAGGGACTGATGTGAATGTAAAATATATATATACATAAATTGACAGCGCTGTATAAGTACCTGAAATAAATAAATGTATAAATGCCATTCTTGGAATTCTCCATTAATTAAAGCATCTCAAATTTGTTTTCTATACTCTAAACTTAAAGTAATGCTACTACAGTTTTATGTATTTCTTTTACCTTGGAACTGTGCTTGTTGCATAGCAGTCTTTACTGAGTGCTCACCCGCTGCTTCTCATTATTTTCTTTTTATTATATTAATCATGTTGCTATTATTATTTATTTTTGCTAGTCACCAAATCAAAGCCATGTGTATTGTACATTTTGGCTATATTGTATTGAGGTCAGCTGTCCCACTAATCTGATATGGATCAAGTCATAGGAGAGGAGTAAAATAAAGAACTGTGCATTGTGACATTACCACAGGATTAATAGCCTTACAGGGAAGAACCATAAAGCAAGGACTTTTGTATTATGAAGCTGGAGATGTATCAGCAATCACAACCACTGGACTTGTTTTACTAGTGTATAGTAACAATACAAGCATCTGCTAGCTGTGAGCAATTACATTTACTTTGTCCTTATGTCCATACCTAAGCCACAGCACATGATGAAAACTGTGTAGTAGGGTGCAGCCAAAAAGCTTCACTAGTAATCTGGAAGAGTGGTGTGATGTAAAGATTTTCAGATATATCTTCATTTTTTTGTCCCATCTAGACATACCAAAATGGTGACCACTATAAAAGCATTATGTTCTGGATCCTTGTTATTACAGATTTTGTCATGTTTAGTAAATATGGTCCATATGGTTGCTTTTTTCAGGAACTCATGCACATGAAACAAGGAGTGCAAGAGTTGCTAATGGCAAAAGAAGAACAAGAAGATCTATTAAGGAAGCGAGAACGAGAACTCACAGCTTTAAAGGGAGCACTTAAAGAAGAGGTGTCCACTCATGATCAGGAAATTGATAAGCTGAAAGAGCAATATGAAAAAGAACTGAAGAAGATGCGAGAGAGTATTCAAGAGACAATGGAGGTAAATTACATATTTACTAATTGTGCTCTACAGTTTAAGTGAAGGTCATCAGTGGACAAATGACTAGGAATTGTTCTGTAGCATATCAGAAGCTAATCTGAGTGCAAAAAATAGGAAATAATTCACTTGGAGTTTTTAAGCCTGCCATCAAAACTCCTAAATACAGTATTTCCTCACCACCCAAAAATATAAAAAAACAATATTTAGAAAAATATAATTTTTGAAAGATCATTCTTATAGCTGTTGTAATGCTAACTAAATTACGACACAACTGTTTTTCAGAAATGCAGTTCTGCTAGTTATAAATACTGCTCTTCAGTCTACTTCCATCCCTGCCATGTAGAGAAGAACAAACTGGAGATTTGTTGAGTCGCATATGAACAATGTGAACTTTCTGTGGAATGTGTTATAACATTTCTATTGTGTGCATAAAGGGTTGCTTAAACAAACTTGCTTAAAAAAACTTTACCTTAAAATAAATAACTTCATCACCTGCTGCCCCTGTGGCCGAACACTGCTCTGATGCATTAAAAAAAAAATCCTTGGCTACTGCTCTTTTTGATTTCCACTGATCGCTCCTTCAGTACAGGATACTTTTGGTGGGAGGTGCCACTGAGTGCATGGGGGGGGGGGGGGGCAGCAAATCCTGGAAGCAAATCCTGGAAGTTTTGGTTTCTAAAGAGACTTCAAGTGGGGTTTCTTTGCGATTTGATGTTTGGTGGTGCAAGCTGCAGGAGAGGTGAAGATAAGTATTTAGTGGTTGTTTGAAAGTTCAGCTTTTTTTTTTTTTTTTTTTAAAGCAAGTATGCTTTAAAGAATATGCAAACCCAAAGATTCATATTCCTGATACTTTCCTACTGTAGCATGTACTTATATGGAAAAGTATCCTTTATTTGTATTGCTTTCTTTGTGTGAAATCGCTGTTGTTCCTGCCAGTCCCTCTGCTTTCCTATTAAAAACAAACCACACTAAGCTTGAGAACACAACATGGTCAGTCCTCTGACTGTACTGGCAACTTAGAGAGCTCTCCTTCATTGATCAGACTTGTCTTGGAACGTCCCCTTCCCCCGCATAGCCATTCACTGGGAAGATCAGTGATCTGCTGTTTCTCCTCACCCAGCTCTCTGAGCTCTTTATGCAGCTGAGAACAGAGAGTATGTGATTACTTCTAAAGAAGGAGAAAAAAGGTATTTATAATGTGTTTTTTTTTTTATATTTAAATACAAATGTTTTTCCTTTTTTTTTTTTTTTTTTACTGAATGGGTTGTTCTACAAAGTGAGGGATACATATACGTTAACTAACTCTGTAAAGCTTATAGATGGGTATCATAGTTTCCACCTTGGTGGCCAGTGGCTCCTCCATGTTTCTGACAGGTTTACTTTAAGAAAAGGTATACATAGTTTTAGGTTCCCTAGCATGTCACCATTAGCACTCACTGGCTGTGTTTGCAAGGGTGTTGCTACTCAGATGTCAAATACACTTTCTTGTACCTTATCCTGTGTACATAAAAATGGCAAGTATGTAGACTGTAGTTCTATAAAGTATGAAGTTAGAACTGGGTGAGTCTTTTGTAAGCTCTACATGACAAGACAGATACACATTGAATCATCTGTAGAGTTCTTTTCAGTGACCTAATTATTTAATCATAGAACATTTACAAAATCTTGATGGCAAGAAGATATTTTACAAATCTGCTTTTAAATAAAAAAAGACAATAAGGGTTAGATGTGCAAATAAGATTTTACAAGTCCAAATCCCGCTCTATTGCATAGATTTTCTTTATTCAGGGACTGTTGAACTCAAGTGCTCTAATAATATAAAAATAACTGATGTGAAGTGATCCGTGTTTTCAATAAAGTACTTCTTAAATATGATGGCTCTGTATAAGTACTGGAAATGAATGCATTAAATCTAAATCTCCCAGTCTTATATATTTAGGTAGAATAGAAGAGACCAATCCTTGGCTGTCATAGTGGAGAAGCACATTAACATTCACCTATAGGAATGCATATATTTCAACACTTTCATACATTTCCCTCAATGATGCCTTGAAAAATTTCTACCACTTCTAAAAAACAGAAGAAAGGCGTTTTTCATGTGCATATCAGCCTGCCAGATGTTTTTTGAGAGGAACATCAATAGAATGTTGAATGTGAATCTTGTCTCAGGCAGCACCTGGGGCTGAGCTGAATCATGGACTGTAGTACTCTGGACAGCACCAAGGAATATACTGGTATTGGGTGTTTCCCCTTTAACCCAACAGACTGCTCTAAAGTAATACAAAGAGAGCAAATGGTAGATATACTATTTTATTAAAGTGATTTTAAAGGCTTATTTTTTTTAAAGAAAAAATAACAAACATGTCTATACTTACCTGCTGTGTACAGTGGTTTTGCAGAGCAGCCCGGATCATCCTCTTCTCAGGTCCCCCGCAGGCTTTCCTGGCCCCTCACTCCTGACAGGTGCCCCCACAGCAAGCAACTTGCTATGGGGGCACCCGCTGCTCCATATATCCATTTACACACGGAGCTGCGGCTCGGGCCCACCGCCTCTGTTTTCTCGTTGGCTCACTGGCTGTGATTGACAGCAGTGGGAGCCAATGGCTCCCACTTCTGTCTCAACCAATGAGAAGAGAGAGTCCATGAGACTCTGGTGCACATTGCTGGATCAAGAAGGGGCTTAGGTGAGTATTGGGGGAGCTGGGACTGATGCTGCACACAAGGTTTTTTACCTTCATGCATAGAATGCACGAAGGTAAAAAAGTTTGAGCCTTTAGAACCACTTTATTATACATTATAGGTCAGCCGTTCTCAATCAGGGTTCCTCCAAAGTTGGTAGGGGTTCCTTGTGCCATGGCCAACTCACTTTCTATGCAATGGCGCCTGCATAGTTCCAGGTCCAACACCACTTGGCAGAGCCAGAGGCATGTAAGAGTGGCATTTTGACCAACACTGTAAGAGGAGCATTCTTCCCACTGACTACTACTAATGTAAGGGGTGTTTTCCCAATGGCCACCAGTGTACTAATCTTAGCAGGTGTTCCCTGACACCAAGGGTTCCTTTGGGGTTAAAAGGTTTATTAAGGCTGATATAGGTGCTTGATTTTCATAAATGGTCTTTAAATAATGAATGTGTCTCTGCAGCTCAAAAAAGAAAACTTCCTCTATGTATCATAAGCTCTGGTAAAGTTTATTCTGGTGCTATTTTTTTTTTTTTTTTCATTAAAGAAGTACAAACAGGCTGGCTGTTCACTGTTCTGGCAGGACTGTGGCCTGGTAGACATGAGAATCAGCAGTGCCTCCTGGATTCTGTTTACTGGTGTATAATGCACCCAGTGCTCCCACATCCTGTGTGCTTTATATGTCAGATATAACAGCACAGTAAAGCCTAGTACACAATACTATTTTTTTTTTTTCCATTGAACCCAGTGGGGTGAACGAAAAAAAACCCCTGACAGTTCAGAAGGAGCCACTGCACTAACTAGTCGATGTTAGTACAGCGATCTCCCCTGCTGTGCTGTTGTGTTCTGATGGGGGAGGTGGCCCCCAGCCGGAGCACTCCGGTAAGTGCTTTCAAGACCAAAAACCTAAAACAGCTGTATGCAAATTGGAATAAATTGCTGTATAACATTTGGCTATTTTTGCACTGTACACTGTATCTGTGTTCTCTAATGAGATATGTGAATACCGTCTGTTAAAAGAAAGCTTTACTGTGTTACCCACTGTTTTTAGAGTGAAGGGTTTTTTTTTGTTTTGACCCCTTCTCAGCATACCCTGTATGATTATATTGTCCCATTGGGTTCCAAGGCCTACTCCACAGAAGCCATGGTTTGCAGACAATGGACTGATGATGGCCAAATATCCTGAACATTCTGCCTTTTTGCTAAGATCAAGTGTAGTATCTGTTCTTATCATTGTCCAATAGAGGTGCTCCTCTGTCATTCTGGCCTTGTGGCTCGGATGGCTGGCTGTATAATATCACTGCCTGGGAATTGAAACCAGAGGATCCCCAGGCATTGGGAGCTGGGAATAATTCTCTGGTGGAGAATTCCAAGGGGTCCATTGCCTCCCGATTTGAGCTAGTTTAGTCACGGGATGGGAAGACATGAAGCCCATGGTGTTAAGCACCACCTGGGAGCAGCGTCCCTGGGGTGCTCTGAATTATCTCTATGGGTTTGGGACTCCACTGTGAGAAAAGGCACTCAGCCACAACACTAAAGTTTGTTTGTACAACGCAACATGGGCTAGGCCTTTTGGCCCAGACCAGTGTAATTTTTGTTAGCAGACCGCAAGGCATAGTCATTTTCGTGCACATTGGCACTTATTTTTCTTTACCTTCACTTTTTTGTGTGGCACCTTTTCACTCAGGATTGTAGGGTGTGGGTTTTTTTCTAGGCTACTGTGAAGCCTAGGGGGAAAATGTGTAGCCATCCGGTTCCTTTTTCCTCTGCCTTGGGGGGGGGGGGGGGGAGACTCGTTGGTCGGCTTGAGATGACTATGAAGAGCAGAGTCTGCTGGGCCTTTTGGCTAGATGGACCTGAGCATGCCTTACCCTTGTCAGATTTGTGTGCCTTGGGGGGTCAGGGAGGGGCCCTTCCTCTTCAGAAGGGGGCCATTTGGCACACCCTTGTGCGCTCTTTTTGTGTGTGTTCACGTACACTTTTATGTACGCTTTGGTCCTTTTTTTTTTTTTTTTTTTTTTTGCACAAGGCAGGCTCGGAAATAATAAAAAAAAAAATTGGCGTATGCAGTTTGGAATAAATGGTTTTTATTTGCACTCTACACCAGCAGTGCTGAATACTCAACTGTCCAAAATGGACAAAAAAACAATGATTTGCATGGCTCTGCCTACTGTCCCTACATGAGGAATAATCCTCTTATTTTTGTGATATGTGATGGAATGAGACACTGAATACCTTCTGTGTTAGGAAGGCCTTGCAACAAGAATAAATATAATATGTCCTGCACTGTGCTTTTATTTCCAGCCTCACAGCTGTCGAA